CCCTCGCCGCATCGCTCAATCACCGGTTCAGATCAGCACAATGGAGGTGGACGAGGATGAGGACGACGAGGAGGAGTTCTACGACGACATGGAGGACGACTCAGAACTGGCTCTTACCCGGGTACCATCGCAATTACAATCACCACCCGAGCTCACCTACGAGGAAGAGTCCGACGACGAGTCTCCACCCACATCGCCCCCGCAAGCGTCCTTCAACTTCACCGAGAAAGAAGCTATGCTCACAACAACCTTCTACGACGCCAAACCACAATCACAAAATATCGAAGACCATCCGCTATTCATGGATACCACCGCTCCGCTCATCTCAAGTTATTAGGCCAGCACACCACCATGTTCCGACCTTTTGATTTTTGATCCAGCGTTTTCAGCGAGCGAGTCCTTTACAGCATAGCGTAGCATTTTCGAGCATTATATCCTCTGTTTTCTTTTATTGGCATATACCGCAGGGCGGTCGGGATCTTCACGCAGGATCTCACGAACAACTCTACTCAGAAATTATTGGATGGATACGGGATAGGAGGATTTGGGATATTGGTCTCGAGCGGTTCGACGTCTCCCGAAGGCAGTGGTCGAGACTCCCGCCATAGCTAGAAATTTCAATGATGATCATTACACCCACAAAAACAATCTCCACGCTTTTCTCAGGTGATGCGCTGCTATCGCTACAGGCTGCATGCTAATCGACCCTTAGCAGGTCACAGGTACACTCCCCATGCATGACTGATGAACTGTCAACAGCACACGACACAGCAACAGACCCCACGCATTACAGTTTCCTGTCAACATGCCCAGTCACACATTTGGTGCTGGGAAATTCCTAGGGTTGACCGACTTTTGGCCAGTGCGTCAGACCCTGGCCCCTCGCATGCATCCCGCATAGGGCGGGCACTTCGCATCGCGGACGCGGCTGCTTTTCGCCGAGCGCGCCTTGCATGGCTGAGCGATCTGTCGTCGCAACGCTTGCCTGGTGAAAGTGCACTTCCGGTCAATCACCTTCGTGTCCCCGCATACACAGAGCAGGCGTTGCGAGCTTGATTGCGTACACCGATCGCACCGCCCCACGCACCGCCGAGTGACCATCTGCGTCTGCCTGGGAACATCTGGTGTGTATGCAAGGCATGCAGCCGCAAGCAGCCGGGTCAACTCGGCGTTTGGTTCTGCCCACGTCCGAAAAGTGTGCGCAGGCAGACAGGCTGCTCGGGGTTTGAATGTATCCGATCGGACACGACAGGAGCTCGCGTACGACGGTCACGTTTGGTTCCGCTCGGGCGAAACGCGGACACATGAGCCAGACTCGAGCGGATCAGCTGGAAGCAGACTATCCGTCGCATGCAGACATGCATCCTCTATTCGCACTCGCATCTTGATGCACTTGACAGCTGTAGGATGAGCGGTCTATGGCAATCTGTTGCGAAACCCACTCGTCGAGGGCTTCTGGACCGCGAAAGCTTTGATCTGAGCAAGGTCTCCCGTCTCCACACTGTCAGAAGTTGAAGACGGAAGTTACAGCGTCGATCTCTCCTTTTCCCCACGCTCCACTGCTGTCGCGGCGATACCGGCACTGACCCTCCACGATGCTCGTCTCGAAACGCTACCATGGCACGAGAGATGATCAAATCTCATATCAGACTCGGTACCAAACATCGAGTCAAAACATGTCCATGCCCGCAATCTCGAGGTTTCAACATCTCGTTTCGACATGGCGGTGGACGAAACGATTCATACAGCTAATCTTCTCATAGCCATCGTCGATTTTGCTTTTACTAGAGACGGACTGCCTCAGTCACACCCGCTAGCTGATGCTGCGCTGTGGTTCGCGAGGCCTAGTGAAACAGGTACGAATCTAGCTTGCGCGTAGCCCGCTCTACGCAATCCGCTTGAATGAAGCGAAACCCTGTTTCCAAGTTACGGAGGTTTCTTGCGATAACGTGTCATCTCGAACATTGCTGAGCTGGCATGCCAACTCAACTCCTTGGATGTTTCTGGGCCGCGTCGTGCCTAGCAACGCCTCACGTCCCAAACATGCTGCCCTGTTCCTGAACGTTCTCCCATCCAGGGAAGTTGGGGCTCAAACAGGGAAATGGGGCGCGCCTTAGGCAGCCACGATCTGACGATCTGATCATCCACGCCAACTTCGTCCGCGGTTACGCCGTGGTGGCTGCGCAACCAAGTAACACAATATTGTCACTGAAACCTACCTTGGTAGCTATCATCAACAGTGTCGCTGATGTCATGCGCACGACCTGGACCCCATACAACTTGGACCCTATGCTGTGTGCATCTCACTCAGCACGATATGCTGGTCATCGTTTGACAATGGTGACAGAACGGTGAGTGAGTGAGGCTTTAGATGATCGTCAATAGTTCACCAATAAGAGTGAACCATGCTGCGATGTTGATCATCCGGGGCGGAGCGGACGTATGTAGAAAGCCGGCGATAAGATAAGATAGATTGAGCCACATCATCAGCCACGTGCATGATTTCGCGAGCGGTCATGGCCTCCGTATTTCCCCTTCTCTCGCAGGTTTGCGATAACCGTTGCTTTTCTTCCGAGGTTGCTTGCATCATCACTCCCTGATCGAGTTCTGGACTCATCCGCTTCGATAAGCTGGTTCATATGATGACGCTGTCAACGGTCAGGGCGGAACCAGGGTCTATGACATAGTCATGTCGAGCCGGACTCCTCGGACGCGCTCTCCTCGCGCGCCGGGGAGCGGAATCTTATCTTTCCATCTCGACAGATCGACGGCCTTACCGGATACGGTGCGCAGCATGCCGATCAGTCTCGTCACGACAGCAACGGCTTCCGCGATTTGCCAGGCACTCCGTCGTACTTCGTATCTTTGTCCCAGATTGCAAACGCAAACCTCTCTCATACAGTTTCGAGATTTCGAAACAGAGTCTTCAACGGCCAAGTTGCCCGTCGGCTAACGCTTCCCTTCTCAGCGCACGCAACGTATCCAGAAGCGGACGTACGTCCGGATCCGCTCGAGAACCTCGCGCCGACCCGCACCGAGGCAGCACATGTTGTGCAGGAAGCTTCTAGCAGCTAGCACGGAACAAAAGAGCCCTGGAGTCGTTTGGGCAAACTCAACGGCCACAGGAAGAAAATTTGACGGAAAGAAATGCCATGGCAGATGGCGACTACCATCCAGGTACATCCCAGCTCCCGAGGTCAACGCGTTCCCCTCATACCAGCACGTGTTCTGTGAGTTTGCCCATGGAGAATTTTCTGCCTAGTATGCCCGGTACACCAGCACCAGTGGACAAGGAAATTCTTACACAAATCTACGAAGATCCACGAAGGAAAAACTTTTTTTCGTGTGTGCGAGTACCGAAATCTGCACTTAGCGTACTGTGTAGGTGTCACGCCATGGTCGAGGCTAGCACCTCGGGAGGCTGGTACCTGGATGTTAGTCTCGTCCGAGCCTCGGGTGGTGTACACCGCATCATCGTGACATTTCTGCGTTGGTGTTGAGGCGCGTGCATGCCGTGGTGTGGGTCGGTCTGCGGTAGCATGTGCCGCGGCCATGCAAAGGTAAGTAGGTAGAACGCGCACAATACGCTTGGGGAAATTTGGATACGCAGCCTGGTTTCCCGTTACTGCTGTAAAGCGGCGCGGGATTCAGGGTCTTGCAGAAGTTTCTTCTAGCAGCTTATTCATACTTTCGTATTCTTCTCGAATGGTCGGTAGTATGGTGTGGTACGCTTCGGCTTTACCGACATGAAGCCACTGTGGCGCCTTGATCAGGATGAGGCGCTGTTGAGGTCAAGCTCAGCTGGTCTTCACGGCAAACACCGTTTTCAGGGGACTATTTCGAGTTGAAGAACAAAGATTAGCATTGCCTGCTTGGAGTATAGTCTTTCCACCTGCATTTCAGCCCATTCCTAGCGGAATCGAATCTTTCAGGTACGTGCAGGTTCCGGGAACATACTTGATATGGTGGAAGTTGAACGTTGCCAATTTGCATCACTAGATCTTCTTCATCCGTTAATAAGTTGAAGACGGTGTTTCTTCACAAACACCTCTCTTTCCGACACTTGTCTGCTTCAACCGGCCTGCCAAAGTATCATGCGCATACTGTACGATGCCTATATATACCATCCTTATTTGCACTGCTCTTGTAGAGGCTGGCAGTAGCTCATGAACTGTCTGATTCAGGTTATCGGTAAATCGGTGTGCAGTGAAGACAAAGTTTTTGGTAAGACCGACGTAGTCATTTGTACAGCGGGCCTTCTCAATATACTTGTGTACCTACCAGACAGAATAACGATGGTCGGACTTGATGCTAGTGTACCATGACTTCGTGACAGCATACATATTCGAAATTGTATTCTCGAGGTATTAGTCAGACAATAGGCTTGTAGTTGTAGTGTGCAAATTTACAGCGACGTACATTGGGCGGAGAAGAATGGTCTTGGTCTGTAACAATCGTAAATCAAAATACACACATACGATGACTCGTCGTTACAAGCACGTCACGACTACAAATCTACAGATATGCCGTGACTTCAGTGGTTGGAGGTCACTCATACATTTGTTTCATTAATTCAGGTTATTGCTTACGAGAAGAAGTGACTGTGACCAAACACATAGCTTGGAAGGCGCATGGAAGAAGTGTAAAGAAGCCGCAACATAGCGTAGTAGTGGAACATATGGAACAGTATTTTATTGCAACTGATAAGAAACTAGCTACAACACGAAGAAATAGTACAATAATATCTCCGGCTCCAGCTTGTCAGAGGAAAAGAAGGTAACAAGCTTGCCCCTATATTCCATTTCGAGTGCGTGGAATAACAACGTGGGTGAGCTATGTAGATCTGGGATGCTAAACCCAAGACACTAAGATCAATTACAAGTCTTCCTCCGTCGAAGTAAATCTAAGCAATGCATTAATCAATCACGCATACTTATCCCATGGTGCCGGTTCCCGTCTATTCACGAGTCTCCGAAATTCGTAGTCTATCCTGGCCTGAGTCATCCCCGGTGGTTCAGGGCGATCGTCGTATAAATCGCTCTCAGACATATCGTCCCATGTACGAAGGCATCTTTCGCATCCGCATTCGCTGCCGTTGCTGTAGTTTCTGCAATACAGGTCGTCGCTTTCATGACTCCATTCTTCTTCGCTGCCGGTGTGTTCTTCGTCTTCTTCTTCGTTGTCTTCTTCATCTTCTTCAGAGTCTGATTCTTCAGTAGCGTCGCTTCCCGAGTCATGTTCATCGGTGTCCTCTTGTATACAGGACATCATTAGCCTTCCCGGTTTCATCAGCCTTCCCACCTGGCCCATGAGGAATGTAGTATTCCATTCCATCCTCGCATACCCATTACCCAAGAACCATATTTTCAGATCGCTCCCAGTGTACCTTAGGCTCACGATCACGGGGTCTAAGCTTGCATATTCTGGTCTCTCAAAGGGATAACTCGTAGCTATACCAGGTGAGGCGCTTTGCTTCATCCAGAATTGATCCACCACCATTTGCTGCTTTGTGGTCTTCACACCCGGTGCTTTTTTCTGGAATACGAGCATTCGTTCATCCTCGGGATTAATCCAGCAGTGGTCCGGGCCAATGTATTGCTCCCAATACTCGCGGCAGGCTACGTGCCATTTCGTGTTGCCAAGGCTCCCAATGGGTATCTGCTCGCCGGCCTCCAGACGTGGGGTGACCTGCTCCAGCCATTTGTCTACCTCCGCTTCGAGTTGTATGTCTTCTTCCAGGATCTTTGTCTTGAACGCATCGTGTGCTCTGTCGTCGTGGGGAGATGTACAGAGCTGTAAATATTGTTGATCGCGCACCCTGCCACTCGTATGTCTTGATGGATCCTTGATGGGGAGGTTGAAATCTTTGAAATGCAAAGTATTGGTACGCTTGTCAGTGGCTGCTGTTGTGCCATGTTGGTCGTCGTGTGGCCGCTTCCTCTTTAGGCGCCCAGGGTCGTTCGCAGGCTTGCAGGAGGACGTTAAGTGAGGCTCTGTCATATCTGGAGAGCGGACGGAAGAGATGGTAGTTTGAGTGAATGAGTGTTTGATGATGGTCTGCGAGCCATAGATAGCTTGTCTTGAAGCTTGGACGACGTTCCTGACCGCTAATTAGTCAGTACAGAATAGCCGATAACAGTAACCCTCGGAGCGACAACACAGACAACCAACACAACACATTTGATAGTTTGCCTATCGCGCCGACAACATCAAATGGGCTTCAGTATGGGTGCTCATGCCAAACAGAATGTGTACAACGGATTACTAGCACACAACAACGTCGCTATCACCTTGCACATAAAGGCACACAGTCACAACGCACAACTAAATATTGGAGGCGTATTCTAACAACGAATTGGAAAATATCTACGTGCACACTAGTACTGGAAATGTGTAGCAATACAGCCCATCCTACCACTCAACTCGATCTTTTTTGAAGTATTGCTTAACAAGCAAGAGTCTACAAGGAACTCTCACCCTCCTTCAGCGAGGTAGATTCATCAACCTTCTTCTCTTCAGTGGAAACACCGACGGGCTTGTCCTGAGATTGCTTTTGTTCTAAAGGTGCACCCTTCACATCAGCGTCGTTGTCTAGGTCCGGACCAGAACCAGGGAAGGCACCAGGCGCATCGGTAGAGCCGGGTGCAGTCTTGGAGACCAAGGGTTCTTCTGGCGAGAGGGCGGCTGATACCTTGGAAGCGACGGATCCAAACGCTTCCGACACTTGAGAAGTGGCCTGCTCGAGAGTCGATGGGACTTTGTCCTTACCCGCTTCGGTCGCGGAAGCAGGTTCACTCCCCTCCTTTGACGTAGTCGGTGCAAGCTCGGGCTCTTTTGGCTCTGCTGCAACATTCCGATCCGCTTCACCCTCAGTGAGAGTAGGTTCGGCTGGCTTGATCGAAGCACTGAGTGACTGCTGAATCTGGGCTGCCATCTTCGCAGCAGGCACCTCGAGATTACCATCCTGTCCAAAACTCCAGACGTGTGTCACAGGACCGAAGCTCAACGACTGCCTTGGTACAGCAACTTCAGCAGTAACAGTAGCGGCAGCAGCGGGTGACGGAGATGCAGCAGGCTTCCTCCGTTGCGGACCCTTGGCCCTACCCTTGCGAGCATCTGGAAGTGGTGCTGTTTCTCTTTGCGCCTCTTCTTCTTCCTCGGGTTCACGGACCTTAGGCGGTGGATGAGGGCCAACTCCAAGTTTGCTGTTGAGGTCTTTCAGGAAACCAGCCTGGAGGGCCGCAATCTTCGAGCCAGCAGGTCGGGCGGGAACGGGCGGTTTCGCCTTCGTCTGGGGAGAGTCGTTCTCGCCAGTCTGCGAGTCGACAGTTGGAACCTTCTCCGCAGAGCCAGTAGATGGCTTGCTTGGGCGTGCGGGTATCTGTGGCTTCGGTCGGTCTGGGATAATGGGTGCTTTCTTGTCATCGGCAGATGGTTCCCTCTTGGCTGGTCGTGCTGGAATACTGGGGCGAGCCGGCACCGGGGGCTTTTGGTCGATTGGGGAGTCGTCGGCATACTCATTCGTATCCTCCATCTGAGGTGTGCTAACAGTAGTCTCGTATAATCCGTGGGATGGCGCATCCTCCCAAATATCTTGACTTGGGAAGCGTTGCTGCATTCCAGGGCGGCCCATGGTCTCGTCACGTACTTTTCCGAGGATCTTGTTGTCTGCGGCGAACTGTCTAGTGTGGTCGGGGAGGAAAGACTTCTGGTCTTCCTTGTTGATCTGAGTCTTACGCTGCTCCTCGGTGTTCGGGTCTTCAAAGACCTTCGCAGGACTCACGCTATCGTTACCACCAGCAGTCTTTGGCTCTTCTGGCTCTTGAGGAGTATCCACAGTAGTTTCGAGCTGTAAGCTGCCAGGGGTATCCTCCCAGACATCTTGACTAGGGAAGTGGTGTCGGGCGACACTGGGACGCTTGAGCTTGTCGACCTGAGATTTGGGCTTCTTGGTGTCCTCCTCATCCTCCGGAAACAGGGGCTCATACTCCTTGTGCGACTCTAGTGGAGTACTGCCACGATCGTATTGTGCTGGGCTGGGAATAACACGTTGCTGCTGCGTGCTGTTGTTACGACTCGAGCTCCTGCTGTGCGTGCGCGGCTTTGTGACATATTGCGGATTGCCATCTTCATTGAGCGTGTATTCGTTGCCATGGCGCTCCATTTCAGGCGATACAGCAGGCTGTCTCCATTCGGCGTCTGGGTGTTTCTTCAGCTCATCGGAAGCTAGAATGGGCGTGCCATATCCGCGCTCAGTAACCCATCCACCTTTCTCAGCTGTGTTTCCGCCCTCCGGGCCAAGGTCTTCGGTTGGTGGGTCGTAGCCTCCGCCGTGAACCTTGCTGGAGCGATGCGCAGGAGGGTCGATGTGGATGACCTCGCCTTTGTCATTGACCTCTTGGCCAGCTTCGTTACGTAGGGGTGAGTCGACGTAGCCGCCCTTGATCGAAGCAGGGCGACCCGATGATTGTGGTCGAGGAGAGGCCATGCGCGAAGCATATTCCTCTGTGGCCCTGTAGCCAATCTGTTCGTCAGGTGTACTGACTGCATCCCGACTCGTGCCTGTAAAGCATGATCAGCAACAGCTGATGAATAATGACGCTGCAATCAACTTACCCATTCCAACATCCTGAGCCCTAGTGTGTACCAGCTTGTCGAGGTTATCGGCACGCCAGTGGTAATCCTTCCTGTTCTCCTGGATGTGAGGCCCGTACTCGCCGGCCTTCTCGCGCTTCAGATCGTCCGGGTGCTTTTCGTACCACTTTTGCTCAAAGTCGTCTGTTGAGATCTTGCCGTGGCCGTGCATGCCGTAGCTGCCAGGAGGGCCATGGAAGATTTCACGGCCACTCTTGGTGCGCCCGTGATGGCGACCACCGGCCTTCTGGTGGAAACCTATTCCTTGAGCTCCGGGCTGTTGCGCATAGGGCGAAGGGCTGGGTGCTTGAACGTCTCCAGCATTTCGGAACATGGGTACCTGAACACCAATTTCAGGAATGCCATGTTCGTCCTTGTCATTGTAGAGCGAGCTGGGGCGCGATCCAGCGGAAGATCCTGAACGTCCAGTCTTGGCCTGAGAGACCCTATCGTCGACGGACAGCTGCGAGCCGACGCCAGCAGCGAGCGCTGTCTGTGAATCGGTCCGCGTCACCGCCTGGATCCTACTTTTGGCAGTCGAGCTTGGGACCGAGGCTGTAGGAGCATGCAGAGGCAAGTCTCCTGCCACGTTCTTCATATGTTGTGGAAAGCCGCCCTGGTTCTCCGGTGTGAGAGTCTTTGACAGATCCTCGAAGCTGGCGTATTCATTGCCTTCTTCTCCGAGGGAGGGCATGGACACGCTCGGTGGGCGGGAGGGCAGATCGGTGCTAAGGCGACCGCCCTCTCTAGGCGGTCCACCATGTACGTAGGTCGGGTCGTTGAGCGGGGAGCGGGCGTATCTGTCTCCCGCGGGAGAGACGGAGCGTTCGACACCGCGCTTCGGGCGTGGAGGAATCTTGGGGACATCCATATGGGTACCCTGCGCAGGAGAAGAGCTGTTCTGGGCCCGCGCTGGGCGTGGAGGTATTGTTGGTGGAGCACTCATTGCTTCTGTGTCGGTTGCTCGGCGGGGATGTGGGGTGTAGGTGTGGTAGAAACTACAAGTCGTTCAATGTCAGTGACAGGTCCCGGCCATTGAATGATGGAGATGTGCAGCGCGAGCGAGCTGAGAAAAGTGCTCAGGTCTGGCTCGGGCAGTTTCCTGCACGTCAGGCCAATAAGCGCGGCTGCGACTTGAGAGCCCAATGATGCTGTACAAAGCGGATGTGCTGTACTGACCTCGGAATCCGCAATTGAAGTGGAGACTAGAAGTGAGGCTGGCAAGAGGGGCAGATAGCTTGGTCGGATACAGCCAAAATGGCGCAAATGAATCGGTCCTGGAGCTGGGACGGGGCACTTATGTAGCAGAGAGCTCCAGGGCCTGCGACCCGCATTATGGCGTATGGGCCTGCACGCGGCCATCATCGTCACCCCCACAACCTGCATAGGTACCTACCACACGTTGTTTGACTGCTTTCTTCCATGGTCCAGTAGTCGTTGCCACACATGCAATTGTTGTAGTGGAGATGTTTGACACGTCCACGTCCACTTCGCTGTTGACAGATGCATTGGATCCATGTCCCACATGCTCGCTGACGCTATCCTAGATTGGGGACTATGCGACCGCATCAACGTGTTTCGCAGCCTGGGACTTCCAACATTGATCAAGAGTCGCACAAGTCAAATTGCAAAGCTCAGCACATCACATGTGCATTGTTTGACTTACATCCATCAGCTGCGCTTGGTGTGGCAGGGTGGCAGGATCTTCAACGCCTCGCAAGCTCCGGCACGCTAGCGTTCCCCGCGCCTAACAAGTGTGGTTCCTGGCGAGATTCTGGCAGCCAGTTATCGTCATCCTAAAAGCGAGCAGATGCCAGGCCAAGTTTGGCGTTTCCGCTGTCGTGGTCTGACACTGCTTGTGCTTGTCACGGCTTTTCTAGCAGCGATAGAATCGCATTCGAATGGTTGCTGAGCAGACAAGTGCTGCACCCTACAGAATGTACGCTTGAGAGAATGACACCCATAGCTTCTAGAACATCGTCATAGGGACTCATGTGGGTCCTGCACTCGTCTCTATCAATCAATTTCTGTGTAGAATTACGTAGATGCCCCCACACAGCAAGATGACATCGTACACGACAAATGCACAATTGTCACGGGAACGCGATGAGTACGGAGAAAGCATGTCGCATTGAACCGCCTAGCAGTTTGGCCAAGCGCTTCCATATCCAAGAGGCTCTCTTACAAAACACGGCCCCAGAACGCCCAGCTGCTGAATGATGCTACAAAGAAGTCAAATCATCTCCTCTAATCGCTTTCCAATCGGCTAAGCTCATCATCTCCGTCCTTGTGATATCAACCGGCTCCTCCGTCGGCCCTTCTTTCTATACGCGTGTCGTTCGTTCGGAATCGTCGCACATGGCTGTTGCTCGTTGCCTAGTTCTGCCTCCACTTTATATGATCATCTGTGCGACTCCCTGTCCACCGAGCGTCTTGCTGCCCTGGAATTGCTGGCCCTTGAAACCGGCAAGCGCATAGAAGACGGCTGCGAGCAGAAGGAAGACGGCCGCGACGATCAGACTTGTAGCCCGGGCAGCGATGCTGGCCCATTGTATGGCGCTCATCGCCGCGTAGATGGCCGCGCGCATGTAGTTGGAGCTGAATTTGCGAATAAAGGTATCGAACTTGGGTGAAGTCGGGCAGATGCGGAGGAGCAGCGGTATTTCGATGAAGATAATGATGAAGGAGCACACTCTGCGAACTGATTAGCCATATTCCCAGCGAAGATATGGGCGCGGAGAACGTACAAGCACACGATACTAAACGCGATGACCCAGTTGGCGTTGAAGATGTTGGCGATGCCCAGCGCAAAGCAGAGGACTATACACAGTACTCCGGTCCTGCCGAAGAGTTAGTATGACATGCTGCGAGCCGTGGGCATATGCATAGCAGCTGGCGTGACTGACCATTGTCCGTAGATACCTGCAAAGATGCCAAGTCAGCAACAAGTTACAGGTCCAGCAGCGGGTGTCTTACTGAAATTCCTCGACTTGAATTCTTCTGCAAGCGTCATCTTCGCGGTGTGATTGACTGCTGTATGCTTCTAGCTTTTCGAGGTTACGCGCAAAGTGGTGGTCTGGCGATGTGTAGATTGCGGTTCCGGTAGCTTTGTTGCTGGCGCGGGCTGGGTGAAGCTCTGGCACAAAGTATCAGGCGAGGTTTGATATCCTTTGTTGGAATGCCGTGCGCCGCGTTGGTGTACGTTGCGCTGCGTAATGTGATTGTGGCTGTGCAGTGAATCGGATTGGGTCGAGTGAATGTTGGTCGGTGCCTGGCGTTGCGATGGCAATGGCTGCGTTGCGTGCTTCTTGGTAGCTCAGCCCTCGGTCGGATCGCGGCTTCCACGTCTACGTAAACTACGCGCTAGTGCTTGCCGAAACCGTCTTGGGCCGGCACTCTGCGCCTGAGAACTCGGACCTGCACCTTCAGTTTCAGAACATTGTGTATGGCCGCGACTGCCTCACCTTGGGATGACTGGAATTTGGAAAGCGAAGGAATCATGGACGCCTCTCGTGCTTGCGTCTGCCGCGCTCGGACTGGCGCTTTACTACCTACATGCCCAGCAAACAGCCACTTTGACAACTGCGGACCCTGCGCAGGTGAATACAGAACCGTGCCAAGACGACGAAGCGATTCACGTACCAGACGCCATGGATCCGAAGGAGAGAGCGTATCATGAGGGCTTCATGCGCGAGGCTATTGCCATGGTGAGCCACGTCCTTCACTTTGTACATATTCAGCTATCTGCTGAGTTTACTCCATGTTTGATCCCTATGCTGACTCATCATCACTGCAGGCTGAACTTGCACTCAAGAGCGATGAGACCCCCGTCGGCTGTGTCTTCGTCAAGGACGGCGAGGTCATTGGACGAGGCATGAACGAGACAAATCGGACCCTGAACGGTACCCGCCACGCCGAGTTCGTCGCCATCGCTGGCATCTTGTCAAAGCACCCCATCAGCATCCTCAACGAGACAGACCTCTATGTCACCGTTGAGCCATGCGTCATGTGCGCGTCCATGCTGCGCCAGTACGGCATCCGAGCCGTCTACTTCGGATGCTGGAACGAGCGTTTTGGTGGCACCGGAGGTGTTCTGAACATTCACTCTGAGTACGTATCCTTCTTTCCCCACAAATACATGCATTGCAAGTACTGACTTCAACAGTGCTAGCGTCGACAAGCCCTACCCAGTCACCGGCGGCATCTTCCGAGAGGAAGCCATCATGTTGCTCCGGAAATTCTACGTCCAAGAGAACGAAAAGGCCCCCGAGCCCAAACAGAAGAAGACGAGGGAGCTGAAGACAGAGATCCTGCCCATGGACGTTCATCAGCCCAAGTCGACCCCATCACCTGCTATTCGTGCTCCGGCTAATGCGACCTCGACCGGATCCATCCCGACACTGTCTTCTTTGAGCGCATCCGCCGCCGCTGCAGCTGTCGCGGTCCCCAAGACTGTGTTTCCCACGCCCGGCCAGGCTCGACCCAGCTCTGCCAGCACAGCTCTTGCTTGAAGCACTTACGATAATGCATACTTATACCCAACCATAGACGCTAGGATGAAGGAGTGAAACCGAATGTATAATACCTTATGACTTTTTACCTCAATAAAAACTTGTTGTTCACCGAGACACGTAACTGATTTGAGATGGCTGAGAGTACAATACCTGCATCGTGATTTCGAAAGGAAGCAGAAACGGCAATAGATGGTCGGTACTGAGTTTGGTATTGAAACGGGATCGGGGAGGCTTTTATCCACCTGTATCTTATTTCTCTCCTCCACCACCTGCAACCAACTGCACTACCATGAAGAGAGCAATGGCCCACCAGTATCTGTATAATAATCAGCATAACCTCTGATAATGAACCTTGTCCCCCTACGTACTTTTGCAAGAAGGTCTTCTCCGGCTCTTTTCCGTCGAGCTTCCCCTCCGCATTGAGCACGATGGGCTTGTTCAAGACCGGCTTTGGCCCAACATTCCTCTTCCTTATCTCCACCTCCACTTCATCTTCGCTGCCTTTTGCGCTTGTTCCGAATCCAATATGGAAAGGCTCCCCCTTCTCATCAACGTGAATGATGAACTTCTTGTGGTATTGGTCGGAGAAACTGGCCGCTGACGTGACAATGCCTCGCCATGAGCCAGATTTAGGGTCGGTGAGGCCAACGCGAAGAAGGTGATCAGAGGCGTAGGAGCCTGTGGGTGGTGTGAAGGAGGCTAAAGTGCCAACGGGTTGGTCTGCGTCGTATTCGATCTGCGCAAGCGGAATCGGCGAGGGGATGACGGCGCTGTCCCCTGAGGCTGGAACGGAGGAGACGTAAAGCGTGACCGACGATGCGACCGCAAATGGCAGCAGTAGAAGTCTTGACAGTAGCATCTTGGCGCGATGGTACGGTCCGTTGCTATCTGTACCAATGCAATGGTGTTGGTAACGGGAGCTGGGGCTAGCCACCCGAGAGCAACGGCGAATTGTATCACCGATGGACATTCACTCAAGCGAGCCGTGCTTCCACAACCCCTCATTCTCAAACCATATCTCCTGAGACTTACATACGGTAAAATAATCCTGCAACTCCGCTTGATCCGAAATCGCACCGATAGCCATGATCAGCCGTGATCCAAGACCTCAACTTGCTTTGCGTGGCGTTCTGACCATCCAACACTGGCCCAACAGCATTCGCTATGCCTGAAAAGGTGGATCCGGCGCTCACGATGCCCACAATTCTCAGTCTGATCAGTGAGCAGATCGACGCTCAGGCTCGAGACGACCCTGACGACTGGTAGCCCGATTGCACAAAGGCTGGGGTTGCTGCCCCACCCCCACCATACTAGAGCTCCCCAGAGCTCTTATGAGCTCATCCCGCATTGACAGCTGTATTGTAACTCAACATTATTTCTCGCGTCCTCGGGCTTTCAATTAGCTTTTCTTCAATTCAAAATACCACACTTCTCTCACCTTCCCATACTCATACGCAGCAATGTCGATTCCTTTCCGCCAGACCCAGCGCAAGCAGTCGCGTCAACTGTCAACAGATCCCCGCAATGAGCTCCACCCTCAAGTCGACCACTACATCGGTATCGATGTTGGTACCGGTAGTGCTAGAGCCTGTATCATGAACGATCAGGGAGACATTGTCGGACTGGCCTCAGAGAACATTGGCTTATGGCAACCACAGACTGGCTACTATGTACTTAACCCGCAACAGGCAAATTGCGAGACCCAAAACTAAAGCGAACCCAGGAACAATCCACAACAGACATCTGGCGATGCATCTGCTCCTCAGTCCGCCGAGCCATGGATCAGCACAACATCGACTCGAGCACTATCCGTGGTATCGGTTTCGATGCGACCTGCTCGCTTGCGGTATTCAGAGACGACACAGATGAGCCTGTCGCCGTCACTGGACCGAACTTTGACAACAAGGACGGCAACGACCGCAACGTCATTCTGTGGCTCGACCACCGACCTGTCGAGGAAACAAACAAGATCAACGCCACCAAGCACAACCTGCTTCGCTACGTCGGAGGCAAGATGTCCATCGAGATGGAGATTCCCAAGGTATTGTGGCTGAAGAACAACATGCCGAAGGAGCTATTCGATCGTTGCAAGTTCTACGATCTGACCGATGCTCTCACACATCTGGCTACCGGCAGTGAGAGCAGAAGCTACTGCAGTGTGGTCTGCAAGCAGGGCTTTGTACCTGTTGGAGTCGATGGTAGTGTCAAAGGCTGGCAGGAAGACTTCCTCAAGGAGATCGGCCTCGAAGATCTATGCGAAGACAACTTCAAGCGCATGGGAGGCGTTGACAATGTGGTTTGTCCTTCGCTACTATTCTTGACGGTCCCGGCTAACAAGCACACAGAACGGACGCTACCTCACTGCGGGCGAGCTCGTCGGCACACTCAGCGAGAAGGCGGCACAGGAGATGGGTCTGCAACCCGGTATTGCAGTCGGAAGTGGAGTCATCGACGCCTACGCTGGCTGGATCGGTACCGTTGGCGCCAAAGTCAAGCTCGATGGGGATACTCTTGACATGGACCAGCCCAAGAATGATGTTTCGCAAGCGTTCACACGTCTCGCAGCCGTAGCTGGAACATCGACCTGCCACCTTGCCATGTCACGCGAGCCTGTCTTCGTCGACGGTGTCTGGGGCCCATACAGAGACGTCCTACTACCAGACTACTGGATGGCAGAAGGAGGACAAAGTGCGACAGGTGAACTACTCAAGCATGTTATCGAGACACACCCAGCCTTCAACGAAGCCGTGTCTGTCGCTGAAACGTACAACACCAACATCTACGACTACCTCAACGAGCATCTCCGCGAGATGGCAGACGCGGAGAAAGCCCCACACATCGCCTGGCTTGGACGTCACTTCTTCTTCTATGGTGACCTCTTCGGCAACCGCTCCCCTATCGCCGACCCCAACATGAAGGGATCTGTCATCGGTCTGAGCTCCGACAAGAGCCTCGACGGCCTGGCACTATACTACTACGCGACCATGGAGTTCATTGCCCTTCAGACACACCAGATTGTTTCTGCGATGAACGCCTCTGGTCACGTCATCTCTTCCATCTTCATGTCCGGTTCGCAGTGCCAGAACAGTCTGCTGATGCAGCTCATGGCCACTGCGTGCGACATGCCGGTCCTGATTCCGCGATACGTACACGCAGCTGTAGTGCACGGCGCGGCTATGTTGGGTGCAAAGGCGGCCAGTACCGACAAGGACGGAAACAGCGAACCGCTCTGGGATATCATGGACAGACTGAGCAAGCCCGGTAAGACCGTGAAGCCACTGGCTGATAAGACGGTCAAGAAGCTATTGGACGCCAAATACAAGGTGTTCTTGGAGCAGTGTGAGGGCCAGCAGAGATACAGGAAGGAGGTCGATGCCGCCATTGAAGGATGGGCTAGCAAGTAAATATCACAAGTGGTAGTAGTCAAGGACACGACGATGAAGGGGATGATATCCATCATTAATTAGAAATTTATTCTGGCCACAAGACACTTGCCGAGGAGATCGTTGGTGCATGTTGTGTGTATAACCCAACTCCCCGCTTATGCCATCGGATATGGAAACTGCATGGCTGCTCCGAGTGTTGTAAGTCTTGAAACCCGGCTGCATGCAGTCTGCTCGTTGCTATCGTCTGTAAAAGGGTATATCGTACAGGGGAAATTGAAGAAGATGTGTGCCGGCCGTTGAGCTCTAGTATCGTCGGCGGGGTCCACGTGGTGGTTCTCTGCGACTAGCGTCGTTAAAGCCGTATCGTCCATCTTGGAAGCTACCAGCACGTGCGCCCGCACCGGTGTCGATGTCCATGTCATCCATGGACTGCGTAAGGCGGGCAGGCGGTGCTCGTGCGACATGGGTGCTAGCGGGAACATCCTTCATGTAGACGTAGAGGAGTCTGCCATCAGCCTGTTGATGGAGTTAGTTTTAGTCCAGCGAAGAAGAAGCTCGCCGGAACACTGACCTTCTGGTTGTTGAACGTCGCGATGACATTCTCGGCGCCCTCCCTGCTCACAAACTGCAGCTCGACCATGACCGTCGGGCTGGAAGACAAGAGCCTGCAGCCCAGCGTCTCTCCTCCAATCGGGGTCATGACAGCCTCGATATCAGCGGCCGTTGTTCCAGGTGCAAAGTTACTAGCAATGACGGTACACGGACCGCCCGTCGCGGCACCTCGAATGCTAATGCCCGGTGCAGCGTCATTGCTGCGCGTAGCCGCAGCGCGACCAAGGACGGGAGCAAATTTGGTGTACGCTTTGCTGTTGCGCTCGACCTGGGATGCTGACGCCGTCCGAGCGAGGTTGTTCCTGCTGTTGGCGGCACCGCGGGGGTTGTTCAGCTTGTGCAGATCGTGTTGCCATTTCCCGTCGACGTTGCCGGCTGGTTTCGCGCTCGCTGATCGCTTCTGGACGCCAGCGCCACCGTTTATCCGACTGAGCAGCGATGGCTTTTCAGATTCAACTCGCGCCCGGCCGCCGGCGCCTGGTGCATTCGCTTTCCGGCCTCGGCTGCCAGCTCCGAGGAACTGTTGCGCGAGGGCTTCGTTCTTCTTCTTCTCGCGGGTCTGTTTGACGAAACTCTCGAAAGACGCGGTGGTTGAGGCGACCATGGTGAGCGACGGTGGAAATGGAGAGTAGTGGTGGTGGTCTGGTATCGAGTGGAAGCGCGTAAGTGTCGGCCTAAGGACAACCAGCGAGCGCGTCTACGAGAACCTTGACCCGCTTGGATCAAAGCTCGGGCCACGACCCGCCCGGCGAAACGAAACACCGCCGCGAAAAGTTCCCGTACAAAACTTGAGCCTGCAGCTTCTCTCTCTCACTCCAACAACGCGCCCAACTTTTGGTAAGTCAACACACCCGCTCTTTCTTTGTTTCCTGTTGCTATCATGATGAACACTTGTGTCGCCCCTATCATACATTCTATGGTGATCCGACCACTCAAGCCAAACGAGAATACTGATCTTTCGCAACATCTACCAATCTGTTACTAGAAGTTTTTTCAGGA